ATGCTTGGATGTGCTCCATGGGATGCCAGGCTGCACACTGGGTGGGGTGGTAGCTCTTGACCACTCCTTTCCTTGCAGATGGGGTCACCCACTGGAGCCTGACAAATTCCTGGGACATGGACAAGGGCACATTATTGAGCTTTGGTGACAGGACCTCTCAGTCAGGTACTGGCCACCCCAGCTCCCGGGTGCCTGCCTTGGCCATACCTCCATGCAGTGGGCCCGTGTCCCTGTGTCAAAAGTCCCCAGTGGGCCTCTTCCATTGCAGTGGTCTCGGCCGAGGTGGAAATGACAGCCTACGCCCTTCTGACCTACACTCTGCTGGGTGACGTGGCCGCCGCCCTGCCTGTGGTGAAGTGGCTGTCCCAGCAGCGAAATGCACTCGGGGGATTCTCCTCCACTCAGGCGAGCCGGGCAGGGCCAGAGGGAGGGGTTCAGGGCTGGGTGGGTGGGGTCCCTGCAGTCCTTGTTTTGAGCTCTGAGGTGGCCAGGCAGTCTGGCCCCTTCTCACCCTATAGAGCCCCAAAGAGGGCACGGGTTGGGGGTGAGGGACAGATGCCCCTGGATCCTCCGTGGGAGTCCAGCCTCTGCCTCTGGGGACACGCCAACCTGGCTGTCTTGAGGCCCCCAGTGCCATGGGTGTCTGCACTGGGTCCAGTCTCTATTCCAGCCTCATTGGTGCCTGTTTCAGGCCAGGCTTCCAAGACAGGGGTCAGGGGACCACTGGCCAACTCAGTCTCAGGGTTGATGGCCATCTTCTCGTCCATCCCCAGGACACCTGCGTGGCTCTGCAGGCCTTGGCTGAATATGCCATCTTGTCCTATGCTGGAGGTATCAACCTCACTGTCTCCCTGGCCTCCACCAACCTGGACTTCCAGGAAACCTTCGAGCTGCACAGGACCAACCAAAAGGTTCTGCAGATGGCAGCGGTGCGTGTTCCTGGGACGAGGGCTTGGGGGCTGTTGGAGGAGGAGTCGGCAGGGCCTCACGGTGACTTCTGTCTCCAGATCCCCAGCCTCCCCACAGGGCTGTTTGTGAGTGCCAAGGGGGACGGCTGCTGCCTGATGCAGGTGAGGTTTTGGGGAGCATTAGGTGATATTGGGCTTGTCCTCCTGTGCCCCATGCCCTCCACCCACACAGCGGAACCCCAGAGACCCCCAGAGGGTTCTGAACTCAGCAGCAGGCCAGACCGCAGGGCAGGCTTTCAGCCTCCTAATACTGCCCAAGGCAGGTGGCCATGGTCCTCTCAGGTGTGCTGCCCACTGCCCCCCTCACCCCAGGAAAATCCATTTGACCCTCAGTCCAGGGATCTCTGACCCAGTGACTCAAGCAGATTTGCCTAAGGGCTCGAGGTCATTCTCCCTGCTGTGGCCTGGATTTAACCCCAGACCAGGCTGGGGCGGGTGCATCTCACGGGTTCTGACTGGCAGTCAGAGGGCAGGTTTCCCGCGATGACTCTCGCTAGCTCCGTTTTCTCATCTCTAAAACGGGAGCCCAGACAATGTCGTGGATGGAAGGGAGACCCCTAGACTCAGACATAGCTGAGCACAGCTCTGAAACTGTCATGGATGTCATTGTCCTCATAATTCTGGCTCTTCCCACCTCCCCACTGCCCTTTCTCCTCCCCTACCCTGCACCTGTTGTGGAGGGCCCAGGTCCCTAAGTCTCCATCCTCCAACACCCCCCAGATTGATGTCACCTACAATGTGCCTGACCCGGTGGCCAAGCCGGCTTTCCAACTGCTCGTAAGCCTCCAGGAGCCCGAGGCCCAGGGACGCCCGCCCCCCATGCCTTCCTCCTCAGCTGAGGGTTCCCGAGGAGACAGACCCCCAGCTGACGATGATGACCCAGCGGCCGATCAGCACCACCAGGAATACAAGGTGATGCTGGAGGTGTGCACCAGGTAAGGCCACCTGCCCTGCTGGCGTGGGCATCCCAGGAGGGAGCAATGTGGGGAGAGGATGGCCTCCTGGGACCAGGAGGAGCTTCCGCCTCCAGGCACTCAGTGGTGGTTTTTGTTTTGTTTTGTTTTGTTTTGTTTTGTTTTGTTTTGAGACAGAGTCTCGCCCTGTCACCCAGGCTGGAGTGCAGTGGCGCGATCTTGTCTCACTACAACCTCTGCCTTCTGGATTCAAATGGTTCTCCTGTCTCAGCTTCCCGAGTAGCTGGGATTACAGGTGCCCACCATCACACCCAACTAACTTTTTTGTATTTTTAGTAAATACAGGGTTTCACCATGTTGGCCAGGCTGGTCTCGAACTCCTGACCTCATCATATGCCCACCTCAGCCCCCCAAAGTGCTGGAATTACAGGTGTGAGCCACCTCACCCAGCCAGTTTTTGAAGTGAATGAAAGAAAATTGAACGGATACAGAAGACTCCAGTATGGTTGGGGCGGGTGGGCCAGATGGGGACAGCCATGTGTGGCTGGGACACTGGTAACACTGGGACACTGATAACACCAGCACCAGGCCCCTTGGTTTCCAGGAGTGAGCCTGGGACCCGGCCACAGTGGGTCCTCATCCTGAGAAGATATTTGTTGCCATGGTGATGGATGCTTGTCACCATGGCGACAATTGGTGGGTGAGTGGTTGCCATGACACTCGCAGCCCATCAGAGCCACTACCCCGGTAGCAGCTGCCCTGACCTTGACTCTCTTCCTGAATATGTCCAAGTTCCCCATCTCAGAAAGTTCTGAAGACCAGAGTCCAGCTTGGTGTACTTCCCGCAGCTGCAAGCTGCACACTGAATGTCGGCTTCCTCTTCCTTGTCCCTGACGCCCTATAGGAAGCGCCTGGCATACTGCAGGCTCCAGAGAGAGCCCAGTTACTTCCCTCCCCCCCTGCCATGTTACAGAAGGAGAAACTGAGGCCGGAGCTAGGGGGTTGATTTCCCAGAGTCTCCTGCGGGTGGCAGTGTTGAAGCACCTGGGCTGTGGCTGCTCTGTGGAGCCATGTCAAGAGTGGGGTCGCCAGCTGCTTCCCAGGCTGGGGACACACAGTGAAGTGCAGGACAAAACACGGTGCCTAGTCACGAGACCTGGTCAAGCCTAGAGCCCTTGGCAAGGCCCTTTCCTTCTGGCTTCAGTGTCCCTGCTGTAAAATGGGTTGACTGAGCTAACCAAGCCAAGGATGTGTGTGCCAATGGCCCGCCGGCCAGGCCCCAGGGCAGGCTTCCTGGGACATCAGCTGTGTGGGCTCCAGAGGGAGAGGGGACCGTGAATTCCACCTCCAGGCTTGGGCTCTAGGGCCTCTCTCTCCCCCCTGTTGTCGGAAGGTGGCTGCACGCAGGATCTTCCAATATGGCTGTCCTCGAGGTGCCCCTGTTGTCAGGCTTCCGGGCAGACATCGAGAGTCTGGAGCAGGTGAGGTGGCGCCGGTGAGCAGCAGTGGGCAGGGATCTCCAAACAGTAGGCAGGGCTTAGGCACCCAGGGTCAGGCTGGCTGGCAGCCCAGCCCTTTGTAAAATGCTATGGGTATTATTTTCTTTTCTTTCCTTTAGTCTCTCTCTCTCGCTGTCTCGCTCTCTCGCTCTCTCTCTCTCGCTCTCTCACTCTCTCTCGCTCTCTCTCTCTCTTTCTTTTTTTGAGATAGTCTTGCTCTGTTGCCCAGGCTAGAGTGTAGCGGTGCAATCTTGGCTCAAATTCCCAGTGGAGCCTTGAACTTCCAGGCTTAAGTAATCCTCCTACCTCAGCCTCCGGAGTAGCCGGGACTACAAGCATGCGCCACCATGCCCTGCTAATTTTTGTATTTGTGGCAGAGACAGGGTTTCGCCATGTTGCTCAGACTGGTCTCAAACTCCTGGGCTCAAGCAATCCTCCTGCCTCAGCTTCACAAAGTGCTGGGGTTACAGACAAGAGCCACCACGCCCGGCCCCTTTTTTCCTCCCTTTCTGGGCAAAAATGGGCCATCTGTCTATTGAGGAGTAGGTGGGGTGGTGTGGGGGCTGCTCCAACAGGTGGATCTCCCGTGGGGCCATTGTCATGATTATTATTATTATTATTATTATTTGAGATGGAGTTTTGCTCTTGTTGCCCAGGCTGGAGTGCAATGGCACAATCTCAGCTCACTGCAACCTCCACCTCCCTGGTTAAAGCGATTCTCCTGCCTCAGTGTCCCAAGTAGCTGGGCTTACAGGCATGAACCACCCTGCCCAGCTAATTTTTTGTATTTAGTAGAGACGGGGTTTCTCCATGTTGGTCAGGCTGGTCTCAAACTCCTGACCTCAGGTGATCTGCCCACCTCAGCCTCCCAAAGTGCTGGGATTATAGGTGTGAGCCACAGCACCGGCCCACTGTCACTGTTATAAATGCCATCTAGAACTTCAGCAAAGTTCCATGTGCTTTGGCCCTGGGTGGGAAGCCGTGGGGCATTCTCAATCCACATTCTGCCGAGACCAGCTGTCACCCTCACAACCCTAAGAGAGACCAGTGCCACATTCCCATTTAGTACAGGAGGGAAGAGGGACGTGGGAGTACTGCCAAGCTCTGACTGGGGGAGAAAGAGGACCAAAAAGCAAGGGGTCCGGGGACCAAAGGAGGTCTGCAGTGTGGGGAGGGTGGAACAGGAAAGCCAGGCCTGTTGTCGCCTCCCCTCCAAGGAGGCTGCACGGAGCACCAGGGGATGACGATGTGGTCAATTCAGAGGCCTTGGAGTGGGTGTGGGTTTTTTTATTTTTTTTATTTTATTTTTTTTTTTGAGACGGAGTCTGGCTCTGTCGCCCAGGCTGGAGTGCAGTGGCCGGATCTCAGCTCACTGCAAGCTCCGCCTCCCGGGTTTACGCCATTCTCCTGCCTCAGCCTCCCGAGTAGCTGGGACTACAGGCGCCGCCACCACGCCCGACTAGTTTTTTGTATTTTTTAGTAGAGACGGGGTTTCACCGTGTTAGCCAGGATGGTCTCGATCTCCTGACCTCGTGATCCGCCCGTCTCGGCCTCCCAAAGTGCTGGGATTACAGGCTTGAGCCACCGCGCCCGGCCGGGTTTTTTTAAAATCAAAAACTGAAAAAAAAATCCCAGACTGGGAGGGGAACTCGCATAGTGCAGCTGATACACCAGCAGGTGGCAGGGCTCAGCCGGGCTCCTCGTTGGCCACGGAGAAGCCTGACCTGGGCTTGGGGCTGGGTTGAGGGAGTGTATAGGGAGGGTAGCCAGGTGCTCTGGGCAGGGATAGTCATCCTTGAGCGTCCTCTCCTGGGCGTTGAGAGGCTGGCAGGGCCCGGGGAGCACTGACCAGCACCCAGACCCCAGCCCATGGTAACTTGTGGGCAAGTCCAAGCATCCCACTGACTACTGCCTCCAGGAGATGGGAGAGGAAGCAAGCAGAGAGTCCGAGGACCCTGACTTCTGGCTTCCTCTGCAGCTGCTCCTTGACAAGCACATGGGGATGAAGAGGTATGAAGTGGCTGGACGCCGAGTGCTCTTCTACTTTGATGAGGTACCACCAGCCAGGGTTGGTGGAGGAGGCTTCCCTGGTGTGCATGTTGGTGAGGGTGCACCGGTCACTGCCTGGTGTGGCTCCCTGCAAGTATCTTGTACCATAAAAAAGACATTGGGGCTGGGCATGGTGGCTCATGCCTGTAATCCCAGTACTTTGGGAAGCCGAGGTGGGAGGACCACTTGAGCTCAGGGGTTCGAGACCAGCCTGAGCAACATGGCGAAACTCCATCTTTACAAAAAATATTAAGAAGTGGCCAGGCGCTTTGGCTTACACCTACAATCCCATCACTTTGGGAGGCCGAGGTAGGTGGATCACCTGAGGTCAGGAGTTCGAGACCAGCCTGGCCAACATGGCAAAACCCCGTCTCTACTAAAAATACAAAAATTAGCCAGGTGTGATGGCATGCTCTGTAATCCCAGCTATTTGAGAGGCTAAGGCAGGAGAGTCGCTTGAACCTGGGAGGCGGAGGTTGCAGTGAGCCGAGATTACACCACTGCACTCCAGCTTGGGCAACAGAGCAAGACCTCATCTGAAAAAAAAGTAAGACACTGGGCGAATAAATTCCAGGCAGAGCTGGCCATGCTGACAGCTCTGTGTCCTCGGCTGATGACAGTTGGTGGAAAAAGCAGGGAGGGGCCACAGTGGATATTATCCATCTGTAAGAAGGAGTGAAGCACTGATCCATGCTACAGCATGAACCTCAGAAACACGATGCTGAGTGAAAGAAGCCAGACACAAAAGTCCACAGAGTACATGATTCCATTGATACGAAATGCCCAGAACAGGCAAATTGGTAGAGTTGGAAAGATTCTTGGTTGCCAGGGGCGGGGGGAGCGAGTGCTGATGGGGATGGGGTTTTCTTTGGGGGAGAAAGAAACTGTTCTGTAACTAGCCAGAGGTGATGATTGCACAGTATTGTGAATATGCCAAGTCCCGCCCACACATGCTCAGCCATGTGTACACACACACAAAAAGGGAGTGGTGTTTGGGAGGCCACCTGAGACGTTTTCCCAGTGGGATGGAAGGACCCAAAGAATCAAAAATGGGACCGAGACTGGGCGCGGTGGTTCACGCGTGTAATCCCAGCACTTTGGGAGGCCGAGGCAGGCGGATCACTTGAGAACTGGAGTTGGAGACCAGCCTAGCCAACATGGTGACACCCCGTCTTGATCAAAAGTACAAAAAATTAGCAGGGTGCGGTGGTGGGCGCCTGTAATCCCAGCTACTTGGGAGGCTGAGGCAGGAGAATCACTTGAACCCAGGAGGCCGAGGTTGCAGTGAGCCAAGATTAAGCCACTGCACTCCAGCCTGGGCAACAGAGCGAGACTCTGTCTCAGGGGAAAAAAAAAGGAAAAAGAAAAAAAGAAAATGGGATCACGTTTCTTCTGTGTTTCACGAGTCATGGGTATCCCTGAAATCAGCCAGTTCTGGGCCCAAGCTCAGCTCGCCCCAGGCCTACTGGCCCGGGTCGAGCCTGCGCCCGCCGCTGCCCCGCAGATCCCCAGCCGGTGCCTGACGTGTGTGCGGTTCCGTGCGCTCCGGGAGTGCGTGGTGGGCAGGACGTCGGCGCTGCCAGTCTCCGTGTACGACTACTACGAGCCCGGTAGGCCCGCGCGCCCGCACCCCCGGCCCGACCCCTGATACGTCGCGCCTGCACTCCGTCACCCGCCACCCTTGTCCCGCAGCCTTCGAGGCCACTCGCTTCTACAACGTCAGCGCGCACAGCCCACTCGCCCAGGAACTGTGCGCCGGACCCGCGTGCAACGAGGTGGAGCGCGCCCCTGCCCGGGGCCCGGGTGAGTGCGCGGAGCCACTGCCGCCCCCCACCGCGGCCTGCCACACCCGGACTCCCACTCGCGGGCGCCGGGGAGGGCTCCCCTGGGGGCTTGGCAGAGGAGGGGCCAGCATAAAGTCAGGAGGACGCAGCACAGGGGTGGGCGGGCGCTCTGCCTGTACGGGGGATGCGGGGCTGGAGGAGCGGTCAGTGCGGAGGGGCGTGGCTGGGGAAATGGTCAGTATACTGGGGGCAGGGCCAAGCCACTGAGGGTGTGGTCCCTGTGGTGGGGACTGGGCCCAGTGGGTTGAGGGTGGTCAGTGTGGTGAGGGCGGGGCCAAGCGGGGAGGGGGAGGGGAGTGAGGAAGGGGCGGGTGTGGTTAGTGCGGGGGGCGGAGTTGAGGGTGGGTGTGGTCAGTGCGGGGGGGGGAGGGAGAGGAAGGCGGTGTGGTTAGTGCGGGGGCGGAGTTGAGGGTGGGTGTGGCCGTGTGCGGGGGCGGGGTTGAGGGTGGGTGTGGTCAGTGCGGGGGAAGTGGAGTTGAGGGTGGGTGTGGCTGTGCGGTGGGGAAGGGGGTTGAGGGTGGGTGTGGTCAAAGTGGGGGCGGAGTTGAGGGTGGTGTGGTCAGTGCGGGGGCGGAGTTGAGGGTGGGTGTGGTCAGTGTGGGGGCTGGCCCTGGAGGGTGGGTGGTCATGAGGAGTGGGTGTTAAGAGTGTGGTCTGGACCGAGGGGCCGGGGTTGAGAGTGGGAGCCGTCAGTGCCGAGGAGGTGGGTTTGGGGTGGGTGTAGTCAGTGTGGAGGAAGCGCGGCGGGGACAAGGGCTGTTGTTGCAGGGCGGCCCAGACAGGACGCCCTGCTTCCTTTCTCTTCTACAACCGCTTTTAAAAAATCTGTTTCTGTTTTTGTAAGTATTAGGCAAATACCTGCGTGAAATTCCATGAGACCAGGGCTCAGGACCTCCCATTAACTGTCGCGCCCCAAGACCCACCGAGGGGGGAGTGGGCCTGGGCCCCAGGGACATCTCCCCGACCCACAGGCTCTGTGGGGGTGCGGGCAAGGTGCAGGGTGGGGGGTCCTCCGTGCCCTGTCGAGCCTGCGTCGTTCCCCAGGCTGGTCCCCCGGCGAGTCGGGCCCTGGGGTGGCCCCTGAGGAGGGGGCGGCGATCACGCGATGCGGCTGCGACCACGACTGCGGCGCCCAAGGGGACCCAGTGTGCGGCTCCGACGGGGTGGTCTACGCCAGCACCTGCCGCCTTCGGGAGGCAGCCTGCCGCCGGGCCGCGCCTCTGGAGCCCGCGCCTCCCAGCTGCTGCGCCCTCGGTGAGGACCCTAGCCCTTGCCTAGCCTCGGGGACCCCATCGCTGCTGCTCTGGGCCACAGATCTCCTCCCTTGGGCCCTTGGGTCCCCTCCCGGCCACGCCCTCCCGACCGAGGCCCCCTTCCTTCCAGAACAGCCGCTGCCGGCCTCAGTGTCCTCCACCTACGGGGATGACCTGGCTTCTGTGGCCCCGGAGCATTTGCAGCAGGACGTGAAGCTGAGTGGAGCCGGCCTTGAGGTGGTGGACTCAGACCCTGAGCCTGAAGGGGAGGTGGAGGACAGGTGAGAGCTGGGCCCACCCCAGAGATCAGAGACATAGGCTCAGTATCTCCCAACCTCCCTCCCCTACCAACCTCCCTCCACCACCTGCCCCGGCCCCCCACAGGCAGTGGGAGTGACTCAAAGGGTCAGAGGGTCAGAGTTCCTGGGGACAAAGTGGGACATTCATCCTCCCTCCACCCTGGCCCACGCAACACCCACCAGCGAACAGCTGTGCGTTTGTGTGTGTGTGTGTGTGTGTGTGTGCATACGGGTCAAGGATCCCTTATCCAAAATGCTTGGGACCAGAAGTGTTTTGGATTTCAGATTTTTTCAGATTTCAGAATGCTTGCATGATATAGTTAGCTAAGGTTCAGCATCCCTACTCTAAAAATCTGAAATGTTCCGATGAGCATTACCTTTGAGCACGTCAAGTTGCTGCTCAAAAAGATTTGGATTTTGAAACATTTCAGATTTAGGATTTTTGGACTAGGGAAGCTTAGCCTGTAGTTAGCAGCGTGTGGTTTCCTCATGAGCAGATTTGTGTAATCTCAACCATAGTCAACAAACATCCCATTTGCACAGAATCCTTCCAGCTGCTCTTCCATAACTTTACCTCTCCCCTCAACACCTGCAACCACTAAGCCATTTTCCCCCTCCGCGTCTGTAATTTTGTCATTTTGAGAATGCCAGGTAAGTGGAATCAGAGCGGATAATCTTTGGAGCATGATTCCCTTGTGTTCACCTGTGGTGTTTCGTGTATCCATAGTTCATTCTTTTATTTTTTTTGAGATGAAGTGTTACTCTGTCACCCAGGCTGGAGTGCAATGCCTCAATCTGGGCTCACTGCAATCTCTGCCTCCCAGGTTCAAGCGATTCTCCTGCCTGAGCCTCCCCACTAGCTGGGATTACAGGGGCCCACCACCATGCCCAGCTAATTTTTTGTATTTTTAGTAGAGGCAGGGTTTCACCATGTTGGCCAGGCTGGTCTTGAACTCCTGACCTCAGGTGATCCACTCGCCTTTGCCTCACAAAACGCTGGTATTGCAGGCATGAGCCACTGTGTCTGGCCTATTCTTTTTATTTTTGAAACAAGATCTCACTGTATTGCCCAGGCTGGAGTATCGTGGCATGGTCATGGCTCACTGCAGCCTCATTCTCCTGAGCTCAAGCGATCCTCTTGCTTCAGCCTCCCAAGTAGCTGGGACCACAGGCACACACCACCACATCCAGCTAATTTGTGTGTGTGTGCGTGTGTATGTGTGTGTGTGTGTTGTAGAGATGGGGTCTCTGTATGTTGCCCAAGCTGGAGTGCCATGGCTGTTCACAGACGTGATCATTGTGCACTGCTGCCTCAAACTCCTGGGCTCAAGCTATCCTCCCATCTGAGCCTCCCAAAGCTTTGGGATTACAGGCACGAGCCACTGTGCCCAGCCTGGAGTGTGTTCTTTTGCATTGCTGGGTAGTGTTGTTGGTGGTCTGACACAAGCCATTACCCTCTTACCGCACGTGAACACCCAGAGCCCATCACTGTAGTCCACCGGGGCAAGGAGGCAGACTTGTGCAGTGCCAGGCCTGGGCCATGTGTCCCCCTCCTAGTTGGGGTTCTGCCATCTAAATGAGGAGGTGGCAGCCGGCCTGAGCGCTGTGGAGGTGGGTTCAGGAAATGGGTGTGGGGTCCCATCCCAGAGTCCTGGCAGTCCCATAGGAATCTTTCTCCTTCTCTCCTGGCCAGTCAGAGCGGCTTCTCTTCCTAACGGCTGCCCTGCTCAGAGCAGGACGACACCATCTGGCTGCGTCCTGTCCCTATCCGCCTGTGACTCTGCCTGGTGGGTGGGCAGACCTCGGCCCAGGTGACACCTGCCTCTAAATGAACCCAAGGAACAGAATGGCAGAGATCTGCCTGTCCCTAGGATGGGACTCAGGGCCCAGGTATGGGCTCAGCAGTCACCAGAATGGTGCAGGGGGGACAGTTGGAGGTCCCTTGGGAGACCCCCCCCCACTTCCTAGCTACAGCTGGAACTCCAAGCTCCCCATTCCCCAGCCTTGGAGCTGGGCATCATTTTCCTGGGGCCACGGCGGCTCCCACAGCCTGACATTCTGTTTCCGGGAGAAGAGACGTTCCCAGAAAGCACTCGTGTGGCCAAAAGCCTCTTTCTGAGCAAACACAGTGTGGACTAAATTAGCAAAACATCCAGCCCATGGGCAACTTCAAAACGGAACAGGCCGCCTTGCTCTGAAACACAAAGCCCTGGCCTCCCTTTGGGGCACCCAGGACCCCGAATTGCCCTAAGACAGTCCCAGCTCTCGAACCCTCTGCCTTCGCCCCAGGGGACCTCGGGCTCACATCGCAAGGCCCTGCGGGGAAGCAGGTGACTCTCAGCAAATGCACTTTCAGCTTCCGGCTGCCCGGGCTGGGTGACCCCGGTGCTTCCTCACTGTGAGTTCCTGATGTCCCCGTGCCCAGAGGACCAGCCCACTCCCAGGGCCCCCAGGTCCAGAACCTGCCTGCCTTGGGGGGCCCTACCAGCTGCCTGCCACCAGCACCAGCAGACTTGGATTCCCTTTTGTGACCCCTGGCACCTGCTTTTGTCTGCATTTGCCCATCTTCTCCGGGGTGGTATTTATTTCAGCCAACACCGCTCAGCCCTGATCTCTGCCAGCATGGAGGCCCCTCGCTGCCTGAGAGGTCAAGGTCTGAGGCTGCCCTGGCCTGTGAGTTCCCCACCGCTGGCCCCCATCACCCTACAAAGGACAGGCCCCTTGACTCCTTCCTCAGCCCGAGGCCCGGTGCCCACTTGCTGTAGAGGATGCTGTAAGATAAAACCTCATCTCCAGGGTCATGGCCAGGCCTCGGCCTCCTGCAGGCAGCGGGAACCTAGAGTACAGCACCCAGAGCGCCAGCCCGTTCCACAGATGGGGCCAGACCCTGGCCCCTCGGAGACGTAGTGGCTGGGTGGTGGGGGCCCACTGGCCAGGGCTCCTGAGCCCCCATGTCTTCATCTACAGCCCAGCCTTTCCGAGTGGTGGGGAGGAGGGTTTATGGGTGTCAAAACACCTGCACCTTGAGATAATCCTACCACCTCATGGAATTGTAGGACCACAGCTTGGTCCTGGGGACCACTCATACCCATACACCCAGCTTGTGCCTGTGGTTAACAACTCAGAAAACTCTAGTAAATGATCACTCCAGGATATTGACACGAATACACATCACTGATCTTACATGTTCTGGGTTGCACGTGAACTTTGTGTGTGCGTGTGTGTGTGTGTGTGTGCATGTGTGCATGTGTGTGTCCCAGGCACCTGACACCCCCAGCCCAGGGCAGGCCAAAGTTGGACTGATCAGAGACATAGACCCAATGAGGAGCCCAGCAGTGGCCCCCCCACCCTCTGCCTTGCCCCTGTAGTTCATGCCCCAGTGGTCTTTGAAACTGCCCCGTGCCACTCCGTGGAGTGAGCAGCGGTGTCTGTGTGTGTGTGTGTGTGTTTGTGCACCAGGCGCCGAGGCTTCTCCCCTTCCCCACACACCAGCTGTGTCCTCCGTAGACACTGGTATGGCCCCTTGTGGCCTGTCCCATGCAAGGCTTACAGCCGGCTGCCAACATCCTGGCAGAGGGGAGTTCAAGGTCTGCAGAACCCAAACCCCCCAGCACACACTGTCCACCCCCACCCCCATTGTCCCACCTTGTCCCTGGTGACATTGACAGAAAGTGAAAAGAAGGATCAGCCTGCAGGTGGGAGGGGGAAAAGCGAGGGTCCCCAGCAGCCAGGGGACAGCAGGAATCTGAGCCATGCTAGCGATGGGTTTTGGGGAGCAGAGTTGGGGGTGCTATTCTGGTTGCTGAAGAGAAATCCCAAAGCCAGAAGCTGGTGGGCATGAGAATGGCCAACCAGGCTCTGGGCCTGGTGGGGCCCCAGCATTGGGCACTGGGGATGGGGTGCCCTGAGCCTCCTGGGCAGGAACTTGCGGTGAGTCTCCGGGGAACGCAGCCCCAGCCCCAGCCCCATCTCAGACACCAGCGCGTCGTGGGCTGCATCCGGTGTAGAAAGCTGAGCCAGAGAGGCTGCCAGGGCCCAGGAAGCAGCATTTGATCCTGTTTCAGATTCCTGGGCTGCCCTGACAAAGCGACACGCACCAGGCAGCTTAAAACAATGGGAGTTTATTATCTCTCAATTCTGCAGGCCAGAGTCCAAGGTCAGGGTGGCGCAGGGCTGGTTCCCTCCGGAGGCTGTGAGGGAGAGCCCGTCCCAGGCCTGGCTCATGGCTGCTGGTGGCTGCTGGTGGCTGCTGGCTGTGCTTGGCATCTTGGCATCCCTTAAGTTTGTGTCCGTCCGCACCACTCCCATCTCTGCCTCTGTCGCCACATGGCTTTCTTCTGTGTGTGTCTCTGTGTCCTCTTCTTTTTATCTTTTTGGCGGTGGGGGTGCGGTGGGGGCGCAGACAGAGTCGCTCTTTTGCCCAGGCTGGAGTGCAGTGGCACCATCTCAGTTGACCACAACATCTGCCTCCCAGGTTCAAGTGATTCTCCTGCCTCAGCCTCCCCAGTAGCTGGGACTACAGGTGCCCACCACCACGCCTGGCTAATTTTTGTATTTTTGGTAGAGATGGGGTTTCACAATGTTGGCCAGGCTGGTCTTGAACTCCTGGCCTCAGGTGATCTGCCCAACTCGGCCTCCCAAAGTGCTGGGATTGCAGGTGTGAGCCACTGCACCCAGCTGTCTCTCATCTTCTTTTTTTAGTTTGTTTATTTTTGAGACAAGGTCTTGCTCTGTTGCCCAGGCTGGAGTGCAGTGGTATAATCATAGCTGACAGCGACCACAACCTCCCAGGCTCAAGTGATCCTCCCGCCTGTGCCTCTTGAGTGGCTGGGACTATAGGCGCGTGCCACAATGCCTGGTTCGTTTAAAAAACAATTTTTTTTTCTGTAGAGTTGGGATCCCTCTGTGTTGCCCAGGCTGGTCCCAAACTCCTGGCCTCAAGCAGTCCTCCCATCTTCGCCTCCAGGAATGCTGAGATTATAGGCGTGAGGCACCACACCTGGCCATCTCTTTTCGTCTTTTAAAAATTGAATTAAATTGATTAATTAATTTAGAGACAGCGTCTCACTCTGTCACGCAGGTTGGAGTCTAGTGGTGCATTCTCGGCTCACTGCAACCTCTGCCTCCTGGGTTCAAGTGATCCTCCTGCCTCAGCCTCCTGAGTAGCTAGGATTACAGGCACCCGCCACCACGCCGAGCTAATTTTCGTATTTTTGGTAGAGAGAGAGTTTTACCAGGTTGCTCAGGCTGACGTTGAACCTCTGGGCTCAAGTGATCCATCCGCCTTGGCCCCCAAAGTGCTGGGATTTCAGGCGTGAGCCACCAGGCCTGGCTTCTCCTTATCTTATGAGGACACCACCCACACTGGATGTAAGGCCCACCCTTCTCCAAAGTGACCTCCACTAGTGACAGTTGTAATGACCCTATTTCCAAATAAAGTCACATTCTGAGGTCCCAAGAAGGACATGAAGTAGGGGAAGGGACTCTGTTCGACCCAGTACGGCCTTCCCCACTTTGTGTCACTGGAGCGAAGAGGAGTGGGTGCCCATGCCCTGGCTGCCCCCTTCCACAGAGGCCTTGGAGGCCACGGTGTCCCCCGGCGACCGTCGGAAGAGCCCCGCCCGCACCTTGTCCCTGAACTCGGCCGACACGTAGTAGTAGACGAAGGGATCCACGCAGCTGTTGAGGGTACTCAGTGCCAGGCTAGGCACGTAGGTGCCGTAGAGGTTGCCCCAGGCCCTGGGGCTCGGGTCCGAATAATGCAGCAGCAGCAGCAGGTTGCTGGGCACGAAGAAGGCCACGGCGGAAGCCAGCACCACCGCGGTCAGCCTCAGCGCGTGGCCATAGCGCCGGCCGCTGGCCGCCAGCGTGCGCAGGGTGGCCCCGTAGCACAGCAGCATGGCCAGCAGGGGCAGGAAACAGCCCAGCAGCGCCAGGCAGGTGAAGGCCGGTTGCCAGTGGGAGGCCTGTGCGTCCAGGGGCAGCACATCATGGCAGAGCACGTGATCGGAGCGTGCCAGCCTGAAGGTCTGCCGCTGCAGTGTCAGGGGCAGTGCCAGGGCGGCTGCCATGAGCCAGGCAGCCATGCAGAGTCCAAGGGCCAGGCGCCGGCCACGCAGGGTGCGGGCTCGCAGTGGGTGCACCAGGGCCAGGTAGCGGTCCAGGCTGATAGCAGCCAGCAGCAGCACCGAGCCATACATGTGGCCGTAGAGTGCGGCCGTGGCCAAGCGGCAGGCGGCCTCCCCGAAGGGCCAGCGCTGGCCACGCAGGTGGTAGGCGACCCGCGGGGGCAGTGCCAGGGCCAGCAGGAGGTCAGCGGCTGCCAGGTTCATCAGCAGCATGGTGGAGGGCAGCCGAGGTGCCCGCGTGGCCAGTACCCACAGGGCCAGACCGTTGGCCGGCAGCCCCACCGCCAGGACCAGCCCATAGAGGGCGGGCACCAGCCTGGTCGGCACCCAGCCCAGAAGCAGCGCCCGTGAGCTGTCCGGGAGCTCTAGGATGTCACTGTCATTAGCACAGACTTGGCCTGGGTAGCCGCGGGGGGCCGGCAGGATTGAGGGCGTGCTCTCTGTGGGAGAGAGGGGACGTTGGTCAGCCCCCGCCTCAGCGGGTGACAAGAAGCAGCAGGGAGGGAGGTGCTCAGAGCCTGGGATCTGCCCTGGTGGGAAACAGCTAGACATGACACTCAAGGGAATAGCCCAGCCCTGTGGGGTCAGGGACGGGATGCAGAGTGGGCTGGGCTGAAGCCCCAACTTCCCAGCCTTCCCCCTCCCCAGCTCCGGGCCCCCAACTCCATCACTTGTGTAAACCCATCTCTGCACCCCAAGGCCAGAACCACTCACCATCGCTGCCTCCGGTGCTCCCACCCTCGTCATAGACGCTGGGGGTCTGGGTGCCGCCAGACACGATGAACCCCAGCACCAGGGGCCACAGGAGCAGTCGCCCCCACATGACTGCACTCAGGCTGCTTTGGGCTGTGGCCTCAGGCTTCCTGCTTCGCCAGACCCTGAGCCCTAGCTTCTGGATGGAGCCTGGGCGGATGAGCAGATCATGCCAGGGGAGATAAACCGGGAAGGCTGCCCCTGCCCCCGCAGACTCACCAGGGCCGCTCGACAGCCAGCCCGTGGGAGGACTGGAGTGTGGGTTATGGAGGCCGGGGTGCCCAGCTCGCTGTGTCCAGCCGTGGCGCCTCCCGGGCACCCAGGTGCCAGGCTAGCAAGATACAAAAGGGGTCCCAGCTGCAGCCGGCACCCCCAGTCCCTGGCCAGCCCAGGAAGCATCTGTGACTCAAGTGGCCACTTCCTACCAGCTGGTCACATCTGCAGCCACTGTTCTCGTGACAACCCTGTCCTCACTCCAATCCCCACGCCCATCAAGGGCTCTGGGCCCTTCCTGAAGTCACGCCCCCACTTCCTACCTCTGGTGAGCAGGATAAGAAGAGCCCTACTAGGCCGGGCGCGGTGGCTCACGCCTGTAATCCCAGCGCTTTGGGAGGCCAAGGCAGGCAAATCACCTGAGGTTGGGAGTCTGAGACCGGCCTGACCAACATGGAGAAGCCCCATCTCTACTAAACATGCAAAATTAGCCGGACCTGGTGGCATATGCCTGTAATCCCAGCTACTCTGGAGGCTGAGGCAGGAGAATTGCTTGAAGTAGGGAGACGGAGGTTGTGGTGAGCCGAGATCGTGCCATTGCACTCCAGCTGGGGCAACAAAAGTGAAACTCCGTCTCAAAAAAAAAAAGCCCTGTCCTGCTTCCCTGGGTCAGAGGTCAGAGGTCAGAGGTCACAGCAGGCACGCCACACACCTTCCCTGGGTCAGAGGTCAGAGGTCACAGCAGGCGAGCCACACACCCTGAAGTACCCCCCGTCCTTGGCAGGTGCTGTCCCCGGCATGGCTATCTCCCCTACAGCTGCCCGTGTGTTCCCTGGGCAAGAGTGAAGCAAGGCACTCATACAGGGGTGCCTTGTGAGTGTGTGGTCAGCCGAGGATAGCTGAAGCGCTCTTGAGGTTCAGCCGGAGTCCCTGACGCTGGGCTCGTGCTGCTCTGGGGTTCTGAGGGGACCCTTGCTATTGCCCTCTGGGAGGTGCCCATCCTTGGGTTTTTTTTTTTTTTTTTTTTTTGACGAGTCTCGCTCTGTCACCCAGGCTGGAGTGCAGTGGCAGACTCTTGGCTCACTGTAACCTCCACCTCGTGGGTTCAAGCAATTCTCCCACCTCAGCCTCCTGAGTAGCAGGGACTACAGGCATCTGCCACCAAGCCCAGCTAACTTTTGTATTTTTATTAGAGACGGGGTTTCACCATGTTGGCCAGGCTGGTCTCGAACTTCTGACCTCAGGTGATCTGTCCACCTCGGCCTCCCAAAGTGCTGAGATGACAAGCATGGGCCACTGGGCCCGGCCCCATCGTTGTTTGTTTGTTGTTTTTCTTTTGTTTTTGATAAGTCTCGCTCTGTCGCCCAGGTTAGAGTGCAGTGGTTCGATCTAGGCTCACTGCAAACTGTGCCTCCTGGGTTCAAGCGATGCTCCTGCCTCAGCCTCCCATGTAGCTGGGACTACAGGCGCGTACCACCACGCCCGGCTAATTTTTGTATTTTTAGTAGAGATGGGGTTTCACCGTGTTGGCCAGGTTAGTCACGAACTCCTGACCTCAGGCATTCCACCTGCCTCGGCCTCCCAGTGTTGGAATTACAGGCATGAGCCACTGTGCCTGGCCCCAGCCTTTGTTCTTGAAGCACCTCTGCTCCTGTCCTGGCCCACCACAGCCTGGGGCCCCAGGTGCAGTGACAGGGGACCCTGAGTGAGGTGGTCAGTTGGAGGGTCCTTGAGCCGGCCTCCAGGGGGGCCTCCCTCCTCTAACTCCAGCACATCCCCACTCCATCAGATGGGGGCTCATCGTGCAGATGAAGAAACTGAAGCTCAGGGGGTACCCCTTCCCTCTCTTGCACAAAGCCCCTCAATGTCCCTCCCTGCCTCAGAGAGGCCTCAACCTGTCGTGCCCTGGGGGAGTCCAGTATGGGTGGTTCTGGCCCCAGTGTGCTCAGGGCTGGGCTACAGGGGATAGGGGACAGGGGTTGGGGGGGTCTGGGAGCAGGAGGGACTAGTTGGGGACCATGAGGGTTGGGGAAGATAAAAGGAACTAGGGATTGGGGAGGGAGGGGTCCAATGTGGCCGTTTCCTGCCTGGGGAAGCCCTAATCTCATCACGCACTTGAGCACTTGGGGACTAGCCAGGAAGTGACTGAGCAGAGTCCTGGACAGAGTCAACACCCAGCTCTAGGAGCAGACACCGAAGCCCAGAGAAAGTCTAGCCGGGACAGGGTCTCAGAGACCTTGCTCCTGTTTCTGGGCAGTTTCCACAGCCACCGATGACAAAATCAGCTTCACGTCAATGACTCGGGGAAAGAGGTGTCTGAGGGCACCTTCCGCACGTGGGAAACCCACGCCTGGGCTCCCCCCTCCATCGTCTTCCCTGTGAGCAGAGCAGGAAGCTGTGTAGGGAGGCTGGACACATCGGCAGTTCGGCGATGCTGGGCCAGGGTGGTTTGGAGATGATGCATCAAAATAGTGATGCACGGCTGGGCGCAATGGCTCACGCCTGTAATCCTAGCAGTTTGGGAGGCCGAGGTGGGCGGATCACGAGGTCAAGAGATCGAGACCATCCTGGCCAACATGGTGAAAACCTGTCTCTACTAAAAATACAAAAATTAGCCAGGCGTGGTGGCGCACGCCTATAGTCCTAGCTCCTCAGGAGGCTGAGGCGGGAGAATCGCTTGAACCCAGGACGCAGAGGTTGCAGTGAGCTGAGATCACACCACTGGCACTCCAGCCTGGGAAACAGAGTGAGACTCCGACTCAAAAAAAATAAACAAACCCAGGCGCAGTGGCTCACACCTGTAATTCCAGCATTTGGGAGGCCGAGGCGGGTGGATCACCTGAGGTCAGGAGTTCGAGACCAGCCTGACCAACATGGAGAAACCTCCTCTCTAGTAAATATACAAAATTAGCCAGGTGTGGTGGCATATGCCTGTAATCCCAGCTACTCGGGAGGCTGAGGCAGGAGAATCACTTGAACACGGGAGGCGGAGGTTGCAGTGAGCCGAGATTGCGCCACTGCACTCCAGCCTGGGCTATGAGAGTGAACCTCTGTCTCAAAAAAAAAAAAAAAAAAAAAAAAGTGACGCACATGCCCTTAGACTCCAGGGTTCCGTGTCTGGGAATTTCTGCCAGACATACGCACAGGAAGACGTCCTTGGGAGGATATCCACACAGCAGTGCAAAGCGGGGAAGTGCCCGCCAACAGCCCCTTCCCGGGAACAACACGGTGGCAGCACGGGCTATCGGGGGAACCCCAGCAAGCAAAGGTGACGATGACATTGCCCCGTCAGGCACAAGCTGTACCGGGACGGCCCAGGTACTTCCCAGAGGATGCTGGGCGCGACAGCTTTGGAGGAGAGGAAACCATGTGTCTGTCTTGTACTGCTGGAATTTTCTGTACACTGTGTTACTTTCCATAAAATTTTTTTTTTTTTTTTTTTTTTTTTTAAGATGGAGTCTCGATCTGTCGCCCAGGCTGCAGTGCAATGGCGCAATCTCGGCTCACTGCAACCTCTGCTTCCTGGATTTGAGCAATTCTCCTGCCTCAGCCTCCCCAGCAGCTGGGATTACAGGTGCCTGCCACCATGCCCGGCTGATTTTTGCATTTTTAGTAGAAACGGGGTTTCATCATGTTGGCCAGGCAGGTTTCGAACTCCTGACCTCAGGTGATCCACCCATCTCAGCCTCCCGAAGTGCTGGGATTACAGGCGTGAGCCACTGCACCCAGCCAAAAACTTACTGTCTTTAAAAGGGGTGGAGCAGCCAGGCCGGGCGTGGTGGCTCAAGCCTGTAATCCCAGCACTTTGGGAGGCCGAGGCAGGAGGAGCCACGGAGGTCAAGGAGGGTGGGGTGCTCCTGGCCCCAGCAGGTGGCCCGTCTCTACTAAAAATAAAAAAAAAAAAATTAGCCAGGCATGGTGGCGGGCACCTGTAGTCCCAGCTACTTGGGAGGCTGGGCAGGAGAATGACGTGAGACCCGGGAGGCGAAAAAAAAAAAAAAAAAAAAAAAAAAAAAAAATTAGCCAGGCATGGTGGCGGGCACCTGTAGTCCCAGCTACTTGGGAGGCTGAGGCAGGAGAATGACGTGAACCCGGGAGGCGGAGCTTGCAGTGAGCCGAGATTGCACCACTGCACTCCAGCCTGGGCGACAAAGCAAGACTCCATCTCAAAAAAAAAAAAAAAGGCAGATAGCCTTAGGCCGGCGCAGTGGCTCATGCCTGTAATCCCAGTGCTTTGGGAGGCCGAGGTAGAAGGATTGCTTGAGCTTAGGAGTTCAAGACCGGCCTGGGCAACATAGTGAAACTCTGTCTCTACAAAAAATCAAAAAATGAGTTGGGAAGATCGCTTGAACCCGGGAGGTCGAGGCTGCAGTGAGCTGTGATTGCACCACTGCACTCCCACCAGGGAGGACAGAGTGAAACTCTGGGGGGAAAAAAAAAAAAAAGGCAGCCTTAAAAAGTAAGGGAATTCTGACATATGCTATATTGTGGATGAACCTTGAGGACATTATGCCGAGTGAAATAAGCCAGTCACAGAAAGACAAATGCTGAGTCATTCCACTCATGGGAGGTCCCTGGAGTGGTCACCTCCATAGAGATAGGAAGTAGAATGGTGGGGTGCCAGGGGCTGGGGGAGGGGGATTAGGGAGTGAGTGCTTAAAGCCACAGTATTTCAGTTTTGCAAGATGAAAGAGTTCTGGGCTGGGTGAGGTGGCTCATGCCTGTAATCCCAGCACTTTGGGAGGCCAAGGCAGGTGGATCACTTGAGGTCAGGGGTTCGAGATCAGCCTAGGCAACAAAGTGAGACTCCCCCCATCTGTACAAAAAATACAAAAATTAGCCGAGTGTGGTGGTATACACCTGTGGTCCCTGCTCCTCAAGAGGCTGAGGTTCAAGGATCGCTTGAGCCTGGGAGGCAGAGGTTGCAGCAAGCAGAGACTGCGCCACTGCCCTCTAGCCTCGGTGACAGAGCAAGACTCTGTCTCCAAGAAAAAAAGAGTTCTGAAGATAGATGGTGACAATGTGAATGTACTTACTGCCACTGAACTGAACACTTAAAAATCATTAAGATAAATATGGTATTATGTGTATTTGACCATAATTCAATTAACTTTTTTTTTTTTTTGGAGACAGAGTCTCGCTCTGTTGCTCAGGCTGGAGTGCAGTGACATGGTCTCAGCTCACTGCAACCTCCACCTCCAGGGTTCAAGTGATTCTCCTGCCTCAGTCTCCCGAGTAGCTGGGATTACAGGTACGTGCCACCACACCTGGCTAATATTTGTATTTGTGGTAGAGGTGGGGTTTCACCACCTCGTACTTCTGGCCTCAAGTGATC